CTGTTGTTCTGCGCACTTCCCTGTGAGCCTGAAGTTCCTGACTGTTTGAAGCTACCTCCTGCTGTCTTTGACATTGTGGCAGCTGGTACAACTGTTAGATCCGATTGGCTCTGTCGCCAGCTCCCGAACAAAGCTGCATTCCAGCTTCGTGAAGAAGTCGCTCGCAGCCTTGCGGAACCCGAACTTTCTTCTCTCACTACCTTCATTGGATTCTCCAAAGCCTTTAGGATGTATCTCATCTGGGGTCGTCTTGAAGGCTTTGGGTTCAGGCATGACTTTGCAACGACAGCCATCGCCCAGACTTCCTCCATGAAATCTTCATCCACAATCAGGTTCGGATCGACGATTTTGCCCACCGATTCTTTGTCGTGGATGCTGATGAATGGAAATGTTTGATCATAAAATTCCTTCAATTGGGTATCTGGGGTGGCACTAATGCCCACCTTGCCAGTCACTAGCTCTAACAACACCTTCCCAAAGCAGTACACATCATAAGAGCATACCGATGTCTGAGACCCTGCAAATTTCCATTCAACAACGGAATCTTAGATCGAAAACAACTCGACCTAGACAGCAACTCGATGCTTTTTCAAACTTGTTTATGTCACACTGAGAATGCATTAGGCTTTCTAAGAACAGAAGATTTGGCCAGCAAATCGACATTAATGTTAAGTAGCCGATATGTTTCAAATGTAAACAGCAAGTTCTTATGAAGAAAATAATTCTTGAAAGTTCTCAATCTCAGAAAAGAAATAATGTAAAATTGAACATACCAGAAGATCCTTGCTCGGATGACCTGCAACATTTTAGAGGGAAAATGAATATCACAACCTTTAATGAAAAAAATACATACCAGAAATAACCAATATTTAAGAGCTAGAATGAAAAAATGGTAGTGCAGTACTCTTATGTTTTAATCTTAAGAGAATAAAAAATTGAAGTAAATGAAAAGATAATTACCATTATTGATATTTAAGATTTAATTGGTGAAAATGCATACGTGAATGTTGCTAACAACATTGGCACAGCAATCTTGAAGATAAATTTTATCAGTTAATCCTGGTGGGAAAATTTTTAAGAAAAATGTATTAGGTGATCACTTACTGTGGCAACCGAAGCAGCCTGGAAATCCGATTCTGGTGGCCGTCCCCTTCCTGGGCACAAACTTCACTCAAGCTACCGAGTCGCACTTCGAATTTATCGTCAAGAAGTATACTACTAGCTTGAACATCTCTTCAATGACCAAAAAAAAAAAAAAGTTTCAAAACACATGTGGCCACTGTTTCAAATTTTCTTGTGATTAACAAGTGCAGTAAAGTATTGACTATTGATCAGCCTTGCCTTTTGGCGGTCTTTTATACTCTTGTCTATTTTATTGAAAGCGGATTTTTCATCGAAGAACAATAAAGACGACAACGACAACTGTTACAGACACATAACAGAGCTGAACTTCTAGTTCCTGAAGAATTTGGTCAAGTGACTCAACTCACTATAACTATAAGAATATATCCAACGAACAAGAGAAACAATAGCCCAATCACCCATACATTGGTCTTATACTCCTAGGAGTCATATCGGATCTACTATCGAGAATAAGTGAACTCAAGCAATTGATACTATACACATCAAAATTAAATAGGGAATAAATAGAGTTCCAAGTACCTGTGGACGAGCGGTGGAGAACATTCATGATGCAGATAAGCAAGACCCTCTGCAGCTCCTAATGCAATTTTAAGTCTTGTTATCCAATCCAACGACTGTATGTTTTCATCATCAACATTAGTTTTTCTGACCAAGGAACTCGCCAAGTCCCCATTTGGCATGTATTTGTAAACCAAGAACTTCTCGTGCTCATTATCCAGGCAGTGTCCCAAAAGGGGAACCAATCTTGTATGGGACACTTTGCTAAAGAAATCTAATTCCACCAAGTACGTTTCCTTTTTAACTGTTCGTAAATCGATCTTTTTGATAACGACATTCGCCCCGTTGTCCAAGACACCGCGAAATAGATCACCAGAGTGGCCAAGTTTGATTAAGTTCTCATCAATAAAGCCACCAGTAGATTGAAGAAGCTGTTTATCTGTAAAGGCATCACCTAAACTTGCAAAGTTAATTGATAGGCCTGTAGGCGAATCGCTACTGGCAGGGGGTATCGGTCCTACACTGACTCCCCTTTGATTCGTTGATGCACTCTTGCCACCTTTATATAGAAGCAGTAGAAATATCAGGAACACCAGAAGGACGATAAATCCAACCCCGCCTAATACGCTGGCCAGTATGATTACCTTCCTATTGTTCTTGCCAGACTTTTCTGCTAAAGGAGGTTGTTCAGAGTTTGGTTTGCCAAAATTATCAAAACTAAGGCCTTTTGAAGTATAAAATGAGGAGCAGTCTTCCAGTGTCCTCTGACTGGATACATTTTGAAGACAATTACTCTCAAGAGATGCAGTCATTGGCACAGAGTTTGGAACTATGCCTTCAAAATAATTCCCAGATAGATCAACAGCATTGAATCTTCTCAACACAGGTGTAAGGCTACCGTAAAACATGTTTCGAGATATATTCAACGTTCCATCAGTTGAATTCGAGTTTGAGCTTGAATTAGGCAGCATACCAGTGAAATTATTTCCAGAGATATCGAGAAGACGCAATTGAGGCGTCAAGAACAACACATCGGGGACTGCACCAGTAAAGCCATTATCTCTGAGAACCACTGCCTGCAACTGCCTAAGACGAGGAAACAAATCTTCAGGCAATGACCCACCAAGTAAATTGTTCCCGACCACCATTCTCACCAGGCTGCTCATGCTCCTCAAATCCTGCGGTAGCGGCCCGGACAAAGAGTTGAAACTGAGATCAAGGTCTACCAGTTTCTCCAGGTCCCCAAGTGAAGCAGGCAATGAAGAAGTGATATTATTGCTGGAAAGGTTCAAATTCTGAAGCTGCCTGATGGACCCAATGAGGGGAGGAATTGACCCATCTAAACGATTTGAAGAAAGGTCTAGGAAAGAAAGGTTCCCCAGAGATGAAAATGACAAAGGAATAGATCCAGAGAGCTCATTATGTGAAAGATCAAGCACTGAAAGTTGAACAAGTTGACCAATACTTGAAGGAATCGTCCCGTTAAGCTTGTTATTGGACAAATATAAAGTGGTCAGATTTCCTAAATTTCCAAGACCCAATGGAATAGGACCAAGAACAGAACAAGAACGAAGATCAAGCACTTGCAGAGACCTGAGCCTCGAACCAAACCAGTCAGGAATTAGACCCGGAAGCAAGAAATTAGAAGCATTAAAAGACTGAAGAAGAGTCAAATTAGCTAAAGCATCAACAACAAATCGTGGGTTTTGGCTGCCAATTCGAGTTCTTCGAAACCCAGAAACATTGACCCCAATAACTCGACCATTAAGACATTCTATACCGTTCCAGTTAAGACATGGGTCAGATTTTAAGGGCCAGTCCCTGCTCCTCAAACCCAAAGAGGATCTGAGGTCTAGCAGAGCTATACGCTCAGTTCGAGAACTCAGCTGCTGAAATGTGGGC